TTTAGATTGAGATCAAATTGAATAATTTGAAAAAATTTAAAATACCAATAAATTTTTAAAAAAACTTCAAAATGTCCTACAACATACTTGAACTTCAATATGAGGAAAAAACGAAACCGAATCTTGTTTAAAATTCTAAATTGAGATAAAAAACACACATTTTTTCCTTAATTTGAAAAATAAATAAATGTATTATTTTTAAATAACAAAAACAAAATGTTTTTAAGAATTTTATGTACCGACCTCCCTCAAACAATGTACTTTCCTCATTGCGTAATTTCATCACGCTATGTTTTATAATTGCGATCATTTTGTAAATATTATTTAAAAGCATTATGATTAGTTCATTTTAAAACAACCTTAAACAAATTTTGAATAAATCTTTACAAGAAGCTGAATACTATCAAAGTTCGAATTCTCATACTCGCATCATTAAAATCTTTCAATGAGCCTGTTCCCGTGACAACTAATAATAATCATTAATAAAAGGCTTAGTATGGAATTCATTAGAATAAGCTGGAAGTTGGTATTTGGGACCAACATAAGAGCCCGAAGTTTGCATTGAATAGAATGACACCAAAATCTACAACGGATTGTTAAAAAAGTTTTTAAAGCATTTGTACCTATACAGTTTTGTATGTATACCTACCTACGCGTCTGATATTACTAGCATTAAAAAATGAATATCCTGTTTTGTTCTACGCTTAATCGAATGAGACCTTAAGCAAGTCGATATGGCAAATAGTTTTGACGTTAAGAAAGATTCAAGTATTATAATTATATTTTCTCACTTTTATTTTTTTTACTCATAACACCCTTATAACTCCGAACTTACACGTATTTACGCAAATGGTGGTTATTTCGCAAATATTGTTTGATAGTTAGCAGCGCCATCTGTTGTTGAATTTTGTACAATTTTGAAACTTATTAAGAATAGTAGCTGGTTACCTAAGCAAAACGAGGTAAACCGAACAATTCCATATTCTTCATTTAACTATTAATTGATTTTTCAAATCATTGGCCATTTTTCGGTACATCCGGTACTGAGTTCGTATATACCAATATATTTTTCTACTTCCCTGTCTTGTAAAATCTGACTTATTTATAAATAGGCTAATTTTGGTACATTTAAGTCGCATTACTATTCTTCTAAAATAAATGTTTGTTCTTTTTTTACAGTAAAAAGCTTTTGGGGAAAACGTGATGACTCTATACGCACCTTCAGAATTCTTGTCGCCATACGACTAACCAATTGGGATAAGACCTCAAGATCAGGAATATACACACAAGATCGCCCTTCAAAGGCGATCTCATCTTTTAAAATGGGGAGTAAGTTATTGTTTTATCGATTCATTGTAAATGAATAATATAATTATATAAAGTAGAACTAATTTATGTTAAGAGTAAAACGTTCGCATTAACATCAGGCTGAGCAGAAGAGACGTCCTCAGCTTTCATCGATCTGCGAATAGAAAATTCATATATTTTATTATTCTAATAAAATACATGAATTTTAAATAAATGAAAATAAATTTCATTCAAAACACTCTAGGTCGAACGTAACTGTGCTTTCGGAGTTGAATATAAAACCAATTCAATAATACCGCTATCATGAAAAAAAGTTTTTATTACATTTCGCCCACTGCTATGGTTGCTCCGTAATTGATTCAATATTATTAATTTTATTGTTTTTCATAACCGTGGATATTTAAATATTTACATACAATTAATATATAATTATATAATAAATATAATACATTTAATACAATTTTTTTAAGAAAAACTACCATCCATTTAAACGATGCGCTTTGAAAAGATCAAAAAATTAAAAAAAAATTCATTTATTTGATATTTTGAGGGAAGCAAAGTAAAGAAATTTTCCTTTTTTTTAGATAATAATTAATACGCACATGCTTTTTACTTTAAATATGTATTAACTGATAAATTTTTATTTATCCTCACTAACCAAAAGCACGATGATGTATTGTGTACATTTTACAGCTTTTAAATAATAGCTCCAATGGATAAAGCGTTCTAATTCTACACTCATCCAAATTCGAAACCTTGTTATGGCTTTTAATTCATATATTTATTCTAGATCAAACTAATCACAATGCTGTCTTAAATTGAACCGTAATGGCTCAGGGAATAGAGCGTTCGCTTCCAATGAGGTGTTCCGGGTTCAAATCCAAGCAATGGCTGGTCGATACGAATTCCGCATCCGCCTTGCACCGACCACAATGCTGACGTAAAATATCCTCAGTGGTAGACGGATCATGGGTTAGAGTCTCCTTGCCACCAGGCTAACAGTGGGAGGTGTTTTCGCGGTTTTCCTCTCCGTGTGACGCAAATGCGGGTTAGTTCCATTAAAAAGACCTCCACGAAGGCAAATTTTTCCCACTACTTGGTCCACGAGTTCCTTTGTCTTCTGGATTAGGTTCAAAATTACAAGGCTACGGATTTGAATATTAGTAATCGTAAACCCAAAAAATTGAGTCGGCTGTTCAACGACGGTTATAAAGTAAAATAAAATACTGTCTTGAAGTATCATCAGTGGCAAAGTTTCATTGACCGATAGTGGGAGGTTTTCACTGTTTCATTATGTAGTGCAAATGGGCAATAGTTCGGCCTTATTTCAAAATGTGACTCAAAACTTGTCATGTTTTCTGAGTTTAAAACTACAATAATATGAATTTGAACGTTACTGCTTCTTGTTTACTACTAACTATTGGTGAGGAATTTTACTGGAACGTCTATCGTAAGATCAGTGATTCATTTGCCTCTTCGTTACGATAAAAAAATAAGTTGTATTAGTAAAAGTAATTTCAAAACGTTCTTCGTATGAACAAAATTATATATTTAATTAAAATAAAGTTATCCCACTTTGTAGTCTTACCGTTTTGTTGAGATTCGTTAAATGTTACAAAACTTATATAACGATCACAATGCGATGATGCTTGCAAAATTGTATTTAATATATCAACCAGTTTGGCAAACGAAAATATTAAATTACGGCTGTGAACTCATCAAATTTGTTATAACAATAAACATGTAATTTGAAATGTTGTTTTAAAAATGATTACTGAGCATAATTATTAACATTCACTAAGGGAAATGTTTGTATATTTGACGCCGATGTGAATAGTTTCATCATTCGTAGAAAAAATTATTTTATGCCAACACTGTAAAAAAAATTTTTAGTATACAATTACGATATAAAATACTGGGATCCTGTATACCAATACTTTTTACTTTCGACTTCGCTTTTTGCCATAAAATTTTATTGAACGAAAAATCTAATATACTGTAATTTTCATATATGCGGTAAGATTTACTGTAAAGTCACTGAATTATTGCACTCAATGCACTCAGTGTGCCAGTACTTTTTATCGGAATTTTATAATGATTTTTTCACAATGTGGGTATAAAACAACTGTCTTTTACGAAAGTTGAAACTGTTTATTTATATACGTGTTTGCTTAGACTTCCTGTGTATAAACATTTCCCTTGAATTCTATTAAAATTCCATTAATTTTGTCTTCTAAAATTTTATTATTTGAAATGATGCAAAAAATTTGCATGCCCTTAGAACTCAAAAATGTTTCGACGAATTTTAAATGAAATATTTAAAAAAAAAATTAGTAAAATTTTTTTTTTTTTCTAAGAAACTATCAATGTTTAAACGAGTTTTATGATTTCAACAGTTCGAGTTTTATGAGTATTCAGATGAAGTTCGTTTTTGTGTCTGATTTCGAGACAGATTTAACAGTTTGCACTAACTTATTAGCATGTTTGAGAATAAACCTTTGAACCATCAACCTAAATTTACGCGATTAATTTAGTACGCGAAAATCCGATCACTAGAACAAAAGTTATTCTGTCTGATATATTATTTTAACTCCATGTGAACTGTGAATGATTACTCTTTAGGGCCTCATAAATTACGCGGAAATTAGTTTTGAAATTATGCGACCAATATACTGCAATTTTTTAAAATAATTCAGAAAGCAGGTTGTGGAGGACTGAGAAAAGTAAAAGGGAAAAAAAAGTTTTTATTTTCTTCCTTATTTCAATTATAATTTTGCACTTATTAGAGTAAAGAATTTATCTAAGTTATCATATATCCTTATTCAACATCAAAACGATTATTAAAGTTTAAAGAGAAGTAAAGTAAGTCAAGAAGCTGAACATTCCATCAAACTTAGTTTCAATAAGCATTCCATCAAATTTTGATGTAAAAATTTGGCCGTAATAAGATTCAAGTGATTCACATTCTACTGAATCAGACACTTGTCTTGCTTTTCTAGCGAGCTCTAGAAATTTCTTTGAACTACCTATAAACACCAGAATGGTATAAAATAAGCTTTCCACCTGTTTAGTCTTAATTACATTTATGTTTATAAAATCAGACTAAATCTTATAACTGTCTTATTACATTTATAATATTATTGTTATTATTACTGTTATTGTTATCATTATTATTGCAGCTTTCTGCATCTTCCTCATCTTTACTCTAGTCATAGGCAAGCATCTTTGCATAATTTATAAAAATACTATTCATCATGCAAATGTGTAAAATGTAGGAGAAAATGGCAAATTGAATTGCTTTTTGCAAACGGATTAATCAGATACGCTGTATTTTAATGAGAGAGGGGATTTTTTTTTCTTCCCGTTTTCCAATAGCGTACAATGTTTTTTTTTTTCTTCTTTTTTTTTAAAATTTCCAAATGTACATATTGCACAATGTAAAAAGAACTATACGCATACAGCGTGTTCAAAAAATCACCATCAATTTTTAACATAAATAAAAACGTGTTTTAAGAGAAAAAATGTTTCGATTAAGATAGATTATTATTAGGAAAGTCATTAATTTTGAAGAAGAAATATACATTGCGTTCAAATAGTTCGTCACTGGATGAATAAAAATGATTTTATTTCCTACAACAGATTTCTACCAGCAACATCTTGGGCGGGGGGGGGGGACTTAGAATATATCTTAACATAATGGATTTTCGCTCCAAAAAAACTTATTGATTTGTAACTTATTGATTAATAACAATGCCATAAATGGGATGATTCCTTTTTTCTCAAATCACATTTTTATAACTTATGTTCAAAAGGGAAAGTTCATTTAAGGTTGCCTAAATTCAGTAAACATCATGTAACAGTGAGACTTTTTATAATTCCTTATGGCCTTATGAGTTTTTTTTTCTTTATTATTGGTGTCCTTAATGTATTGCTTTGTAAGTATTAAGTATTGCTTTGTAAGACTGAATCGTAATTCAAACTGTGTTTAATCGCCTCTCAAAACCTAAAATTTGAAAAAAATTTGTCAGCATTCCTTGAAAATATCATAAAACGAAATTGGTCGGTGACTTTTGTATCCACGTAATGTAGTTTTCTTTTGATGGTCAATGATTGATTGAAAACAAAAATCAATTTTACGAACACTTTAGTTTCTCAATTATTTATTTGAAAGCTGTGAGATGTCAAACACACGTCCTTATTTTGTCCAACAATCTATTCAAGTAAAAGGTTTTGTGCAACTCTATAAAAATTTCCGTCATCTTAAGAAGGAAAATTTGCTTAAAATTATGTTCCTTTGTTTTATCGCCATGTGTGATGACTCTATTCTCCATTAAGTCCACGCATCATCGACACGATCTATGAAACATCTGTCAGAGAAGAAGGTATTTCAACTCTAAAACAATGATGGGCCTAACGGGAAAAAAAAAAGAAATAAATACGCAGGTCCGACCTTGAGTTTCATAACAAACTTACCGAAGCCATCGTCACGAAACGGTTGATTTCGTTGGCGATTCTAAGATGTAGAATGAATTTTTAGTCTGATCTATGACGTTCCTAAGATTTAGTTGAAATTTGGAAATGATTCTTTTTGAATTTCAATGCTTGAAAGTAAGATTTTAGTTTTAAAAAAATCTTCCTTTTCATTTATATAATGTCGATATTATAATCTAGTGCAATTTGCAATGTTTTCAAATGTTCACCAAAGCAAATTTTAAAGCTTTTATAGTTTACTAGCGTCAAAAAATTTATCATATTAAAACTAATTATTTGTCTTAAGGGCTGTTCAAATATTATGTAAGCATGTTTTAAGGTGATTCTAGATCCTCTCTCCTAGCAAAAAAAAAAATTCCAAACCGTCCTATATCTGAGGTGAGGTTTTTCGTTTCAATTTGTAGCTATCTTTCCAAATGTAATTATTTCTGAAATTTACAATGGAATTTCAGCTTTTAAACGGAATTTTCATGTCTTACGTAAGCAGTGCATACGCATTAAATTGCGTAAGTATTGCTTACGCAAGTCATTTAATCCATATTAGATCCAGATATACTACTTGGTTCTAAGATTTAAGAAATCCTACGTAAGAAATAAAATTCCAATAGCCACCTCCTGAAAACAAAGCCTTATAGCAACCCTTTTTTATGCTTGCGTAATATTTGAACAACCCTTAAAGTATGATATCATGAACATTTGAAACATTTCAGGAATGTTTTTGTTGCCGTCAGCGCTAAGTGAAAATACCTCAATACTTGAAGTAAGTCTTCATTTCAAAATCTTCCTTTTAGTTTTTCACATTATGTAGTGTAATTTATAAATTAACTTTAAGAAAATCCGTACAATCGGTGATTGAATGGTTAAGATCTATAGATAACGCACAGTGAACGATGACCATAACATTTTAAAAGTTATAAATGCATGAACCTTAGTAACAGCCTTGGCCACAATTGGGCTCAAAATTGGCTGAATATGAGACCTATATGAACATGCTCTGAGGGACCAATATTGGGATGTCTATGTTTTTTAATATTGGTCCTATATAGGGCCAATATAGGCCTATATTGATTGAATAATGAACATAACATATCGGGTGATTCTGTATAGGGCCGATATTGGTCGTAAAGTGACTGTAAAACATGTGAATCGGACAATATTCTATGTAGGGCCGATATCGGTAAATAACGGCCCTTTGAATTCTTCTTGTGAATATTGGTCCAAGATTTGTGAATATAGGTCCAATGAGGGCCCAAGTTATTTTGCTGACAGGGTATTTATTATGTGAATCATGAAATATTTAGTGCATAATTTGTCCATGTAACGAGCATTTTCGGCAATTTGTTCATTTTTTTCCTCTGATGAAAACATTTTGTTCTAGTCATAGAAGATTGAAAAAGAAAACTTCACTAACTTGTCACCTGCCTTCCCTTATCGAAGTGTAACACTGGAGACGAGTTTACTGATCGAGTCCAATACGAAGGCGGTCTACACCATGTCACCGAATGCCAAGCAAGAGGAGCCGCAACCAGCCGTTGTCTGCAGCAAACTGGACGAGCTTCGAGAAGGGGCCGAGGTCAAAGGTGACTGTGGTCAGGCCAACGACCAACCTCCTCCCTGGCTAGATAAAGAGAGATTCTCAAGAGCTAGGGAAATATTTAAAAATCATTTTTTCAGGTAAAGCCGCCGCTTATATCTATTCTTTTTAAATGATTATCAGTTAAAAACTTTGAACGATTAAAAAGCTTGAAAGGCTTAGAGAACTTTCAGAGCGACACTGATACAATTTTAAGATCATATTGAAATGTAGAAAGAAACCGACGCAGCGAACTAACTGATCACAGCGTATGTAGTGTACACAGCGTACTAACTGATGATTGGCTTTAAACAAAGGTTCCCAAAGTATGTGCCACCCTAGGATACAATGAAACGAGGGTGCCATAAGAAACCTATAACTTCAAGTTTAATATTAATCCCTTAATAAGATTAGCCTCTTGCTGATCAAAAAGGAAAGGCTTCAAGGTAAAATTGATAGTTCCGTTTACATATAAATATATCAGCATACTGTCTTAAATGAAAAAAATTATGGAGTTCACCTTCTTCTTCATACTGCGTGATGTTGAGTTCTGCTGAAGAGGTGGAAAATAAATATAGAAAAAATTACAATCTGAAAAGTAATCAGTAACAAGTAGCAAACTCACTTAACGAATTTACTATAATTTCGAGCATGGATGGAAATTTTTCTTCATTTATATAATCTTTCTTTTATATAATCAATACTATTCAATGTATTTTATATAATCAATACTTATTATCTTTTATATATCAATACTTATCAACACTTTATGTTTATTTAAAGTACGCTTTGGTACGCTTAACTTAAGTATAACTTAAGGTATTCCGAAAGTAGGCATAAATAAATTAGCCCATTTAATTTAATCCTCCCGAACCATTACGATTGCATCCTGCTACATGTCGATCTCATCATTCGATCAACTGTTATTAAGGTGCTCAGTTTTTTATTTTATGTACCAATATAGCTAACTTTACCTACGAGAAAAATCAACGGCGCAGAATGTTTAGTTAAACGACAATGACAACCATATAACAAAACAAGGGGGGATAAGTAATTTTAGTAAATATTTACCTTTGTTGTTGTTTCTAATGCTACTTACAACACTAGCAAGCCTGCTTGGTATATCCGAGCAAATTTAAGGCAGAGGGTGCGTTTCGTGTTTCTCAGTGGCGCTATCTATGGCCAAGAATCCGTCTTCAGTCACACACACGTCACACCCGTTCATAGGGCTAACCCATTCATACATACATTCACTCATCCACAGATCGTAATTTTTGACCTGGATCAGTAAATATTTACCTTTGTTGTTGTTTCTAATGCTACTTGCAACACTAGCAGGCCTGCTTGGTGAAACCGAGCAAATTTAAGGCAGAGGGTGCGTTTCGTGTTTCTCAGTGGCGCCATCTATGGCCAAGAATCCGTCTTCAGCCACACACACACGTCACACCCGTTCACAAGGCTGACCCATTCATACATACATTCATTCATCCACAGATCGTAATTTTTGGCCTGGATCAGTAAATATTTACCTTTGTTGTTGTTTCTAATGCTACTTGCAACACTAGCAAGCCTGTTTGGAGAAACCGAGCAAATTTAAGGCAGAGGGTGCGTTTCGTGTTTCTCAGTGGCGCCATCTATGGCCAAGAATCCGTCTTCAGCCACACACACGTCACACCCATTCATAGGGCTGACCCATTCATTCATCCACAGATCGTAATTTTTGACCTGGATCAGAGGACGATCGATCTCCGATCCAATACCCCCAGAGGTATTGATTTGTTATGGGAACATGGAGGACTTTGAGACTCGATGAATTTAGCGTGCATCAGTCACCATTGACTACACGGGGAGTCTTCAGCTGGCGGGGTTGGAACCCACGAACTCTCGGACATGGACTCAGCGTCCTACCGATCAGGCTATCCCGGCCCTTCACCTTCTTTAAAAAGGATTGCTCTTTTAAAATAATTCAACTTTGAGATTTTAATTTTTCCTGCTCATTTTTATTCGTTAACGATGTCAAACTGTTTAATTTATTGTTCATTAAATGGAGACAGAATTATAAGATACGTAAACACGAATTTTCCCATTTGTTTCGGTATTATTGTTAATTTTCGTTTTTCAGGTAAAGGCAGGTCTATAGTGAATTGTAATTATATATTGAAAATTTGCAATTATTTAAGCTTGCTTCAAAGTGTATTAATTGTAAGTTGTTAATTAGCTTAATGTAGAGTAGAAAAAAAATTCGAGAATCTTTTGAAACTGACAATAAATGTTTATTGTTCTATTTCAAATAACTATTAATTTTTTTCATTATTAATAAATAATGAAACTGATCTTGAATTATATTTTATAAAATATTTTGTGTCTATCTTTGAATATCGATGATTGAATTTAATAATTTTATGTATGTTTTTTTTTTGTTATNTGTGATTTTATAAATTATTTTCCACTATCAATGGAGTGTACTGCCACACTAATTTTTTTTTATCTAAAAACAATGCATTTTCAGTTAAAAGTAATATTCAGATAGCATATGATTCAGCTCTTTTTAAACATTAGTTCTTTGAAATTTAAAATAATATTCGCTTCTTATTAGGATTTCGTCGTGAATTGAATAACAAATAATTTCATTGAAAAAGTGGGAGAATGCGAGATGAAAAACTTGTTTTGATATATATGAAAATAGTGAATGGCCTTGTAAGATATTCTTTACTTACGTATTCTTTTCACGATTATTATAATACGAATATTACCGCAGATACGAGTATCCGCAGATAGCTGGAATACAACTTACATAAATAATAAACTATTGTTTAATTATTTACTTACATAAAAGCAAGCTGAGTGTAAAATATAAACTAAACTTTGAATTGCTCAGCTTGAGGTCGAATGCTTTGAATAGGTTATTCGAAAAAAATTATTTGCTTTTAAGGGGAAAATAGTTTTAAAATTGTATTGAAACTTGTATTTTGAAGTGAATTTACAGAAAAATTAAAAATTGAGGGTTTTTTTGCAATACACGTATAGCTGGATGCTTGGAGTTGTCATTTCTTATGTCAAAATATAAAAAAAAGTTAGCAAATAAATAATTTGGAGAAAACTAGAATAATTTAAACAGTTTGAGCTTAGGTACAATACGAATACTTTAGAGTCTCGGCTCGCAACAACCACAGAGCTGACGTAAAATATCCTCTGTGGGTGACGGAACTTGGGTTAAAATCCCCTTACCATCAGGCTAACCAGGAGAGGTTTTCCTCTCCATCTAACTTAAATATTAATTTTCGACTAGTAATGTGCATAATTTTTTACGTTGCTTAAAATATACACTAAGGACGATTATTATGAAGCACCCTCTATTTATAAGATAAGCAGCAAAATTAGCTGTTGCCATTATACGTTGGGAGAATAAACAAACAAAAAAAATAGTTGTAGAACAATTTTTATGTAAAATTTGAAAGCGTTTTGACTTAAAAATTTGTGCCTTATGTTCAGAAAACACTCAGCTTTAACAAGTTAGGTCGTTACACTCACAATATTTGAAGAAAATGTAATATTTTTGTGATTTTCCTTGCAAATTTATGTGACTCAATATTCTTATTTTTTAGCATTTTCTTTTCTCATCTGGCCGGTTTGATGCTGATAGTTCATATGCCAAGCATGACAGAGCCACTCATGTCAACGGGAAACTCATCGAACATTGTGTGTCTTTTTCGCCGCTACCTCAGTACATTGGTTCATATTCGAAGATGGTATGAAGGAGATATATTTGATCCTAAAGATCCTGCTCATCAAAGCATCACCATGGTGAGAGGCATGCACAAACGAGTGGCAGATAAACTTAATGGACCCTGCAGGCGACGTTGTATGGCAGTTTCCCAGTACGATATGGCTCTCACTCAATTTGCCTTCATCGGATTGATCGCACTCCATCCAAAACACGTCGGTTTACATTGTAGCCAGTACGATCTCGAATGCCTAATACATTTCTGGAGAGGAATCGGGTACATGCTAGGAGTTGAAGACCGTTATAATTTGTGCAGTGGCAGCGTCGACGACACCGTCGCCATCTGTCGGAAAATTATGGAAGCAGAACTAAAACCCTCGGTGAGGAACTCTACAAAGGAATCTACGACAATGAGTCAAGGAATTATAAAAGCAATGAATTCGTTTATCATTTTTCTGAGCTGGGAAGCCATGGCAAGATTTTGGTTCGAACAAATGGGTCTAGCTTGCAATTTTAAAATGGGCATTTACGAAAGTACTGGATATTGGCTAATGCGGTTTACGTTTGGAGGATTATTGAAATTTAGACTTTTTCACAAGTTCTTTAATTTTTTACTTAGGATAGCAGTGAAAGTAGCTCTTGATAACAAAGAATACTACGAAGCGTATCTTACGCGGAAACACAAACTTACAGACGTTTGATATTTTGTGACTAAAAGACAATAAAATCAACTTTCTTTTTGGAGTGCTGTGTGTCCCTAAGAATCTGAAATTGATTTTTCTTGTACAACATACAGTGTTTGATGACTGCTAGTCTTGACTATAGAAATAATGACATAAATGAAACAGAATGTTTATAGAGACACGTCTGAAACTGGAACCCACAGTCAAAAAGTTCCTGTGAAAATAAATACGTTGATAAAGAAAAAAAGTGCCACATGTTGTAATGTGTATAGGTAAGTTATTAAATGTACAGCTTAGTTATCACACTCTTAGGCTTGTACAGAACAAAACTGACCAACTAAAAGGTACACCAAAGCCAACTGTATCCCATAGAATGATATAAAATAAGCTTTCCATTTGTTTTAATTTTCTTTAACAAAACTAGAATAAATGGAAATTGGCTTAAACTTTGCTATATGATGGAGAGCATATTTGCTTCAGTTTAAGTCAATTAATTGTTATGGAGATCGATATAGTAAATTACTAAAAATAGCTGATTTGTTGGCTTTAGCTATTAAAAATTTATAATTGTAGGAACTATTTTATTTTATACATTTTTTTATTATCATTATTTTGGTGATAAATCAGTTCTAAAAAAAATAATGGGGAAGTATAATAAATTATAAAAGAAGAAGAAAATTATTTACTATTTATCTTATGAATGCTTATCAATGTAAAACGCTTATTTAACTTTATTAACTTTGTTTATAAATTTGAATTGATTAAAAAGTCAAAACATTTTCTAATGTTGATAGTTTTTCTTTCCCATTTTTAAAGTATTGTATTTTAAATATAGACTGTTTTTTTATAATAATAATAAAAAACTCAATCAAATTTCGTTGCAATGAAAAAAGTATTGGAAAAATTTGTGAACAATTTAAGTTATAATTTGTCGTAAATATTTAAATTAAATTTGTATTTGCATATTTATTAGAATGACAATTACTAAATGATTACAGAATGTTGTAAAATGAATTGTATATTAATATAAATATATTTATTAAGAATGTTTTTCATTTTTAGAATGGTAATTCAAAAGCCATTTATAAATATTTACAGAATGATAAGACATCAAAAATATTTAATTTAAATTATAACTGTTACAACAAGCTACTGTATTGCAGTTCAAATCATATACATATTTATAAAGATTAAATATCTATAAAATGATAATACTCAAAAAACTACATATAATTTTAACTAAAGCTTCTGCATTGCAATTTAAATCATAGTTCATTTTATATATTATAATTTATGTTTGCATATTTACTTTTTTAAATTTTTTTTAAAGATTATAGTATATAAAAGTATATGTTGAGAATGTTCCTCATTGAATCCTTCTCATTAGAGCTATTTTTAAATATTTAGAAAATGCTAATATATAATAAATGCATAATTTTAAAATAAAATTTATAAATTGATGAATTACAAGGAGCGATGGGTTTTTAAAACAGTCGTAACAATTATACGTATTTATTATATCAAAAGTATTTTTTTAATTCGTTAGAACTCTATTCTCGCCAAATTTCAAATAAACTGCGAGATGTAAGTAATTAATTACACTGGAAACTAGTCGTTAATTTTTTTTTTAAAAAACAAAGAACTTATTTATGGAATTAGTTTTGGGGGCTTAGATGTTATTTTAGGTGCAGTGTTTCATCGGGGGTTACCTATTATATTTAAAGTTAGAGAATCATAAATCAATTGTCATTCTATTCGTGAGTTTTCTATCAATTAATATTTTGTTCTTTTTTAAAAAATGAAATGTATATCTTGTGTATGTACTTAGTTATGTTTCTAACCATAAGTCTTGTGATTTATTTAACATATTTTGCATTATGAATAAACAATTTGAAATTCAACAATACATCTGATTGTTTTTTTAATAGCAGTACTAAAAAAGTAAGTGTTTCATAGTAACAATTGAAACAGAGTCGTCGTTTTAGTAGCTAAGCATTATTAAGGGGACGCCATACGACGGGAGAAACTTTTCGTCACAAATTCTCTAACAGCTCCGTAACTAATTTAAAGTATAGAAAATGTGAGTTCAGACAAACGTAGAGTAAGTTCTAAATACTGAAAAAAAGTATTTTTAAAAATATCAAAATGAAAATATGGTGAGAAAATGGATAATTAAATGAATAATTATGAGAAGAAAACTTCTTCAAGTTCTCTTCCAATAATTTGTTTGCATGTTATTTTTTCTAACAATTAAAACTTCATGGCTTACTTAAGGTTTGCCTGAACACTTTTTTAAATATTGAATTAATAATGGAGATGAAAGACGAAAAGTTTCTCCCTTGGTGTGGCGTCCTCTTAAAACTTGTTAGTTAATATTCCATTATAGATGCTTAGTTTTCTTTGTATTTTGTTTCACAATGCTAATGCATAATATTTAATTTTCATTTAGAAATGACAATTTAATATAATTCTAAATATATTTCAAACTCTCGAAACAATGCGGTTTTTCGGAAAAACGAGGTAACATTTCAAAATACAGTCAATTCGCTATAACTCGAAGTACGATAACTCGAATATTACTATAACTCGATTTTTTTGTGAGGTCCCGACCCTTTCATCTTCAATTTCATGTTAATTATTCTCGATTACTCGAATTTTACTCCCTTTAACTCGATTTTTTTTGGATCTTTTAAAGCAAGAAAAAAAACCTAGGAGCTGATATCTTGCCCCTTCCTTTGCAACACACACACAATGTCTTTCGCACTCTTCATGGAGAAGCTAAAGCTGTCCCTCTTGAAGTATGTGAACAGTGGTTAAATGAAACGTTACCAAATTTACTTCAAGGATACAGTTAAAATGATGTTTTCAATATTGATGAAATGGGTTTATTTTTTAAATGTCTTCCAAATAAGACTATGATGTTTAAGGATGAAAACTGCTCAGGGGGTAAAATGAGCAAGGAACGTTTGACTGTCCTAGTTGGAGGAAATGCGTCTGGGACAGAGAAATTGCCCTTACTTGTTATCGGAAAATACCGAAATCCCCCGATGTTTCAAGAATGTAAAAACGTATCCTTTGGATTACAAGTCTAACAAAAAGTTTTGGATGACATCAGTTTTATTTGAAGACTATGTAAGAAAATTGGATCGGAAATTCTTCGCTAAAAAAAGAAAAGTGATACTCTTTATGGATAAATGCACAGCGCATAGTGATCTACCTAATTTGAAAGCAGTAAACTTGCAAGCTACCGCCAAACACAACAGCAAAGTTGCAGCCGATGGACCAGGGTATCACAAAGTGCTTCAAACAGTCTTATCGTAAATGGCTTGCCAGAAAAAAGATCTTAAATATTTTAAGCATTTAGAAGATTTGTGATTAATAAGTATTAATTAAATAATCCGACAATATTTTGACCAAAACCGAAACTAACGGTAAGTCGAACTTCCGATATGTCGAAGTTTTTCGTCAGTCCTATCAGATTCGAGTTATCGCGAATTCACTGTAATTATAAAATATATCAAGTTTGATAATTTGAACGGCCTTAACCTTCATGTTTTCGCTTGATTTCGAAATTAATTAGTCAATATCACTTATAGTGGTGAAATATAGTTATAGTGGTATCACTTATTCGGTGAAAATAGGGGCTACCGATTGCAACTCAATTTCAAAAATATATCTTTTTGTTTTTGTAACTAAAAATATTATTATACTCGTCACCATTGATAATATACTAAATTTTTTCAAAGCCACAAAATAGTTATTAAAGATCAGATGTATGTCGCGTTCGAAATATTGTACCATAAAATAGGTCGCCAGACAAATTCTTTTTACTAGTAAGAAAAAAAACAATGTCAAACTTCGCATATTGACAGAAAAAAAAACATCGAAACAATAGTTTGCCTTAAATAATTTGATACTTAACTTTTTTTTTAATGATACGCCCTCTAACACTACACAAAACTAATAATTTTTAACAAAATAACAGAGAATGACGTCTTTACAGAAACTATAAAATTTAAGAATTCCTTTTAAGGACTTATATGACAGTGTGTCTTAACCCTAAACGGATCATTGCACTGTCATATAAGCGGCATGTCATTTTTACTTACTAGGTCCACCGCTGCGTATATAGGGGGGAAAAATCAAGTTATTGTTTTAAATGCTGTCATGCATACAATAATTAAATTATAATTGTATAATTAATATCATAACTATACTTGGTTAATGAATTCTATCCCGGACCATTAAAAGTTTTTTTTTTTTTTAAAAAAAAAACGGCAATTTATCGTTTGCAAAATTTTATATTATTTTTTAGAAAGCAATGGTTTTCAATGGTTTATCTTTTTACCTCTAAGAATATAAATTTCTAAAATTTATTGGTATTTGAAGCAATAAGCAAACAAAAAAAAATTTGTTTGTTTTTTGCCTACTATTTTAAATTACTGCTTACCATAATCTGAATTTAAATGAGGAATCAGTAGCTGGTAAAAATTGGACATGGCTATGTTATGATGTAAGCAACTTTCATGATTTTACCATAGTTTCCTTTTTGTGTTTATTACACGAAATTTATGAACCGATTAAAATTAATGCTCAGATTTCATAATAGAAAATTATTTTTACATATTACCTCAGTTTCAGTGATGTTGCCATAATTCCCATGGAGAAAAATTCCCTACATATTTGCTCACGTGCTTTAAAAGATTAAGTAGAGGGGGAAAAAATTTCTCAAAATTAGCTATTACAATTTTAAACAACTACATCAACTGATAATGTGAAATGCTACATGATATGTCATTCAGAAGCAAAATTTTAAATTTAGTAACCGATTCTGAAATTGGACTATTTATACGATCGTTTACTACAAAAAATAAGTTTATGCTACATATTTGCTCAACATTAAGATTTACAAAACTAAGTATAGAAGGATTTATTTTATTTATTAATTTTGTTTTCAAAATTAGCTTTTAAGACTAACAACCATTCATTGAGAAGCAAAATTTTAAATTTAGAAACCGCATCTTAAACTGAGCCATTCACTGAAAAAGAAACGAATTTTTTTCAATTTAAGCTATTATGTTTTACCAAACACGAAAAAGCATGAAACTCAAATATCCTCTAACGTAAAGATCCCCTCAAGATAACATCAAAACCCAC